CGCCGCCTCTCTCCCGCAGGCTCCACTGCCTGGCCACCACGCTGCGCAGCGAGGGCTGCCTCGGCATGTACAGAGGTAAGAGCCCGCCCGCCGCGGCGGGAAGCCGCTTTCCGGCCCGCCGGTCCCACCTCGGTCACTAAGAGCCGAGCACCCCGCGGCACCGGGAGGCTTCAGCAGCGTCGAGCTCCCTCCGTCGTTCAGGCCGGGCTCTGCTGTCGCTCTTCCGGGCAGGTGCGGGCAGCCCCCGAGCACCCGCTGCAGGACAGCTGAGGCCCCGCGATGTCATGCAGATTTCCCTTTGCTCAGATAACGTGAGGCCTCCTTGAATGCGCCTCTGATGTCTAGGTTGCTAAACGGACCGATTCAAAAGGAAGGACGCGCCTTAACCCTGCCAGGTGGCCCGCGTGGCTTGTGCGCCGCATCTTGGCACAGCCGCTCGCTCGCTGCGTAACCGCCCTGGGATTCGCCTGCAGGACTGGGACGTTTGGAGAGGGCCGAAGCGGGAGACAAGTACACCACAGTCCCCTAGACGTTTACGCTCTGGTCAGGTGAAAGTCAAGTGGCGTGATGGTGCGCAACTGAACCGAGGGCGTCTGCCCGGGAAGGATGCTCGCCCCAGTAACTCCAGTTAGGGAAAAGTTAATTCAGTTTCTGGGAAGCTAAACCCAGTGCTGAGATCTTTGCCAAAGGGAGGCACTTGCAGTGTGGGAATGCAGTTTTGGCAAGAAATGGTTCCATAACACAGCCAGCCATTGATTTTGTATTTTAAATGGAGCACGGAGGTAGATGCATTAGTGACTGTGGCAGTCATTATTGCAAACATCTCTGCAAAGCAACACGTTTTGTTGTATCCGGTTCACGTTGCAGCCCTTGGCTGCTTGGGCTTTGAAGGCTACTCGAATCTGGCCAAGCTTTTGGGGAACATTTAATAGTCCAGCACTGCTGCTAACTGTTGGGAATGGGCATGGCTCCTTTTTTCCCTGACCCCATATGCTGCCTGTCTTTAGGTGTCTCTTCTCTCTCTTTCTACTGTACAATGTTTCTGTGTAAATTGTCTGTGCCAAGCAACCGTTTTCAAGGCTTGCCCGTGTTCTGAGAGTTCCTCTTGGATCTGGTGTCCCAACATGGAAACGTGGTTTGCAAGCTCAACAAAAAAGGTCCATAGTCTTGTTTCCAGTGATGGAAGATGGGCTGTAACGTCACATACCTTCGAAGCCTTTGGTGAGAGAGAACCTTTCGCCTTCCGTTTTGACCCATTCTGGCTGAATTGTGCTAGGAGCTCGAAATACAGGAGTGTGAGATACCAGCACGATTTATACATTTAATATGACTAAGTAAATGAGTGCTAGAGATCTTTAGTACTGAAAGTTAGAAATCTGGCAAATGTACTTGTTTGTACCATGGCCTCTTCACAGCCTGCTGATCTCCGTTTCACTGCTGGACAGATTCAGGGTGTTCTCTTGTACCAGCATGGCCCCCGGCGAGTATTCCTGCTACCTTTTTTTGTATTGCATTCCTGTGAGAAATGCCTATGCCCACTTTGCTGCTGCATGCTCAGGTAGAGGGCATGGCCTCTCAGAAGTCCCATTTGGAAATAAGACTGCTCTTCATTTCTTTCCCATTTGCCTTGCTTGACTAACATGTTTGCTGCTCTCTGTTGCATATGTCATATTTTCCCCCGTGTCTGTTTTTAAGATGTGCTTTTCATAAATGAGATAGTAATTGTACTGTAACAAACGGTTTGTAGCTGCTAGAGTCATTGTTCTACCTATTATGACTCTGGACATAAGAATTGACTTGGGGAATAAAAGGTTTTCTGACCCTAAAACACAGGCTGTGTTCACTTGAGTTAATGGCTAAATCTCCACTACTGTGTAATGTTGGAACTAAATGTACAGTTGATACGAGCAGCTGTCCAACTAACAGAGCACGAGCACCGTGTGTCTTCAGCTTTCCATCTACAAAGTCTTTGTGCCTTTCATTCATTGAAAATAAGGTCTTGGAGTTTTAAGCACTTGGGGCTTGTCTTCAGAGTTAGTTATGTATTGTATTAAGGGAAAAACATCTGTTTTGTGTACTAGAGAGCAGCATTGTTGCTGCTCAAAAATTCTACCTCATCACCATCCATGACAGTTGCCTGAACAAAGGTTGTTTTACTATAACTCTGCCAAATCACATCCAGGTATGCCACATCCAAGTCTCTGCTGCAGTTTAAATGGATAAAGACGTGGGAATCAGGTTTTTGTCGTCTACCCCTGTTTTGCGACCCTTGCCAAATACAAAGCTATGCTTCCTATAAAGCCATACATTTGAATTTGCACAATATGCATCCCACAAGTACTTATTTTTCCTTGGTCAGTAATCCCAGTGACGTGGAACTGAAGCATTTCCTTTGGGGTGCTGCAGCCACCACTGTTGGGATAGGTTGGCAATTTCTGAAAGCTATAAATAAAACTTCTCTGCAATTTAAGCAGTAGTGATTTTTTATTTTTAGGTGCTGCAGTAAATCTGACGCTAGTAACACCTGAGAAGGCAATCAAGCTGGCTGCAAATGATTATTTCAGGCACCTCTTGGCCAGGGATGGGTATGTTTTTTGTTGTTCTATAAGTTATAATCTGGCATTGAATTTAGAGTTGGGTTTAACCATCTAGTCTGCCCTCAGCTTTCTGTGGAGTACTTTTTTGGAGATAAGGCTTACTTTAAATAAACAAAATGCTGCTCTATCCAAGCCCCTCAAACCTTTGGTGTGAGATGCATGCAAGTGGCACACTGGGGAAGCATTGTCATCTGCACTTGGTGTTTAATCAGATGCTACAGCAATGAGACTTTGAATAAATTCATAGATATGTATTGGCTCTGAAGGGCTGTAGGTCTGGAATTTTTGCTAATCCAAGCAGTCCCTCTTAAATGAATGGAGGCCACGTTTCCACTGGAATCACTAGGGCAGCTTGCGTACAGTCATGATCTGGCCCAAAGTTAATAGTAAGCTTTTTTTTTTTTTTTTTTTTTTTTTTTTTTTTTTTTTTT